AATACGATTAAACAAAATACTAAATTGTACAATGAAATGAAAAGATCGCCAATTTTGTTGGGTATTTCTAAACAACCAAAAGAAAGGAAAAATTGGGATGGAGATATGAATGACAAGCCCGATGAAGAATTGATTGACCAGCATCAATTGGCCGTGGCTAAAAATATTTTCATAAATGATCATGCGAATTATCAACGAATTTTTAATCCTTTGACTGCACCTAGCGATGAATTCTTGGAAAATCTATATGAAGTATGTTTATAAATTTGAATTATGTTCTTTATTTATCCTTAATAATGAATGATCATTTCGAATAATATAGCAATTAGGAAGTCTACGTTTAAGTTCTAGTGTTCAAGAACAATACACTCCAAAAGGAACTCCAAGAAAAACATCAAAGTCTAACGAACTACAAGAGAGAATAAAAGAACGAGCGGCTCTGTTTTATCATGAGCGCAACCCGAACGAATTCCTGCGTGATGCAGATTGGTTACGAAACAAACTAAAGATTCGTGAAGTCAATGAAATTGAGAACACCCTGACGCTGACTCCCACCAAAGAGAGAAAAACCGAACTCACCACCGCCTGTCTTCTAATGGACAGACAAGGAAATGGTACACTCTCTATCTGTGGTGATTTGGATTACCTTGATATCGGACTGATGCTTGGTAAACAGTTATATAAAAAACCAAAATGGCAAGATCATTTGACACTAAATTCGCTGTTGACAACCCCATTATCAAGTCTTAAACGTAAAGGATACCCTGTTGATCGTATTTTGCAAGCGAAAAAACGCGCAGCTACAGAATATATGGTGAAAAAAACCGAGGCAACGACAACTTCGTTTGATCCTAATAAGTTGACGGAAAACGACTACCTGAATAAAACATCAGTTGTTGATAATAATGGAATTAAACCTGGTTGGTTTGATATGGTAACAAAAGTGATCGATAATGTTGGGGCTTATAAGCAATCCATTTCTAATATTGTAAATACCACATCATTGTCATCTGATAATAATCGACCTGAAGGAATAAAGCCACGAAACCCTAAGCCTATCTCACCTGAAACGACAAAGAATCTACGGAGCGCTTTACGTCAAGCTGTTAATCAATGTCGCCCCAATTCTGGGAGTGCGATAAACACTGAACAACAAACGGTTGAAGTAGTTCAAGAAAGCCAAACGACTTATTGCGATATTTTACCAGGTGAATTTTTTAAATCTCGAATTATTGTTGTTGTTTAGTTGCAAACTTAAAATCTTCAATTATATTTATAAATTTAAAATATGAAATTAAAAATAGGTCATTCTTTGAATTACGTTGGGTTTAGCCAAGAGATCGAAGTTTACGTGGCTAAAGATCTTGACGCGGCAGTAATGAGATCGTCCGAAATAAGTAAACAACTGAATCGTTTTGTGGCATTGTTAAAAGACCTTGGGGATGTTTTCCAAGTTAATCGCAAAGCAATCCACATTTTCTACGATGTCGAGGGGACAACAATTGCTTTCAATCGAGATAGCTCGTTGTTCTTTAATTTGCGGTTTTATATGGGACTACATAATACCGGTAACAGCGAAGCACCAACAATGGACGCATATATATATTGGTATATGACTTTTAGTCATGAATTGGCGCATAATTTCACAAAAGTACATAGCTCGGAACATGAGGTAATTGTTTTTATATATTTCTTTGATTTAAGGAGATTATTTATTAATTGTGAACTTTTATAAATTAGTATTACTTTTCATCATTCGCGGAGAATTACATGGCAGCTCTGATGCTAAAAATGAGAAGCCGAGGGATCGTCGTGTCTTAACCAATAATCAGCCATCTTAGAACTTGTACTATATTAGAGTATACATATATATATATATAATTATGCTAATTTGGATAAAAACTCTATTTGAAAAATGACGGGCATCACGGAAACAACGAAATTAAATTAATAAATAAAATAAATTATATTTGTCAAAGAAAAACTATGTGCCATTGTTTCTCTATGATACATTTTGTTCTATGCTGATTTCGGGCGAGTTCTTTATCGTTATGCATTATATACCCAGTTTGGTAATGAAGTCGTTGTTCATAAAAAATTTACAAACAACGAACAACAATGATATCCCTCGAAATTACTTTATTCGTACCACCTACTTTATTTAATAAAAGCTTGTCCCTTTTTTTTTTGTAATGTAATTTTCTTCAAAGATATTTTTTCTATAATATACATCTCGGATATAATAATAACATATTACAATATAATAATAAAATGTCGAATCGGAATTCGTCGCAACGAAAGTTAAATTTCAATGTTGGAGAGAATTATGAAGTTTTAGATGTCGTCGGTGAGGGTGCCTATGGTGTGGTTTGGTAAGTTGCTACCCTCTAATTTATCTTGAGAGAATTCGTTGAGATCAACTCTTTCTCATAGAGTATCTTATACATTAAAGACAAACAAATACACCTTTTGACCTTATTTGCATCTTGTAAATAATAGTTCTGCATTACATAAACCAACTGGCCAAAAAGTAGCCATAAAAAAGATCACACCCTTCGATCATTCAATGTTTTGTTTACGGACGCTTCGAGAAATCAAATTGTTACGGTATTTCAACCATGAGAATGTATGTTGATGGATGTTTAATACTTTTTTGTTCATTTTGATGGAATTCATTAATATTAAATATTAATTTAGATTATTGCTATATTGGATATTGTAAAACCGGAAAGTCTGGAAAAATTTACTGAAGTGTAAGTAAGTCTTTGGAGCATACGATATTTTAATTATACTATCAAGAAATAGAAATATTAATTTCTACATTAAATAATATAGATATCTCATCCAGGAGTTAATGGAAACAGATATGCATCGCGTAATTCGTACTCAAGATTTAAGTGATGATCATTGCCAATATTTTATCTATCAAACTTTGCGGGCCTTGAAAGCTATGCATTCAGCAAACGTGTTGCATCGTGATTTGAAACCTAGTAATCTGTTACTTAATGCTAACTGTGATTTAAAAGTATGTTCGTGCATTATTCTTATTGCTCATACGTACGTGTTATCAACAAATTAAATAAATACTTTATTATTTTATTCAGGTCTGTGATTTTGGTCTAGCAAGAAGCGCAAACACCAGTGACGAACAAAGCGGGTTTATGACTGAATATGTAGCCACACGATGGTATCGTGCACCCGAGATCATGTTGACATTCAAAGAATACACAAAGGCCATCGATGTTTGGTCGGTTGGTTGTATTTTGGCAGAGATGTTGAGTGGGAAACCGTTGTTTCCGGGCAGAGATTATCATCATCAACTCACCCTTATTCTTGATGTACTTGGTACTCCATCTATGGAAGACTTTTATGGTATTAAAAGCCGAAGAGTAAGTATATTATTATGTGATATAATGGAAATTTTTATCTAAATGATTTCGCCGTGACTAAAAATGTGATAATTTATATAGGCTCGTGACTATATTCGCAGTCTTCCGTTTAAAAAACGCGTTCCTTTCTCCCATATGTTTCCTCAAGCCAACCCTTTGGCACTTGACATGTTGGAAAAATTATTGGCATTCAACCCGACAAAGAGAATCACGGTTGAAGAAGCATTGAAGCATCCTTATTTGGAACCGGTAATTATTTAGTAATAATGCTAAACACACAATTTAATAGCCATTACTTAAACAACCTATCTATTATTTATAATACCCGCTCCAATTATAAATAGTATCATGATCCAGAAGATGAACTAGCGGCAAACCCAATTCCAGAATCATTTTTTGATTTTGATAAACAAAAAGATCAATTGTCGAAAGAGCAACTAAAACGTAAGTAGTTAATTATTTTGTTTTCTCTACAAATAGAAAGCTCTATTAATCTTATGTTTATTATTTAGAATTTATTTTCGATGAAATTATGCGACCTTTATAGAAAAAAAGAATATTTATTTATTGCTACTAATAGAGAAGATATTATACTACATACATATCTATATATATATTATATTATATTCAACAATTTTGTAATTAATTTATTATTTTTGTAACTTTGTCAAATATTAATAAACCTAGAGTGCTAAGAGTGATTCGTCTCGGTTTTTACAAATAAAAGAACCACAGTTCTAATAAGTTACCGCCTCATGGCCGCAACGTTGTTCCATCTCACTGTTTGACCTTATTGCAAAGAGGCTATCCGCCTCATGGCCGCAATAGCATTTGGCATATAAAGTACACCAGAGGCAATAGCATTTAGCATATAAGGTACACCAGAGGAACTATACCGCCTCATGGCTGCATATAGTTCATGAGTGTGCAGTTCGCCTCATGGCCGCAGGAGATAACAGAACTGGGCTGAATGTGTTTTTAGTATATATTTTCTTTTGCTGAAAAATATCATTATTGGGGAACACTAAAGCGGGGTAGTGCAATCCGGATTAAGTCGATCTGGGTTGATTTGATTCGGATTTACATGTAGTGTTACATGCAAAATAAAATAAACTTTTTGATTTCAAGGATGAAAAGCTAAGTTTATTAAGACTAATAACATTTACTATTAATATTAAGATATATACAACTGTTAAGACATGTACTAATATATTCACTCATCATACATACTTGTAATTTCTTTATATATTCTCATTATTTCTTTATATTTTCACATTTCTTTATATTATTACCTTTTTAATATGAGTTCTAAGATAAGGGTGAGTATTAAATCTAATATTACAAAAGCATGTGATAAAAGTGATCACGTGCTTGAAGTGATATTTGGGAGAGTCTTTAAAAGATTTATTAACAAGAATATATCTATTATTATTTTAAAGTTAATCTAAAGATAGGTAACAATAGTGTTCTTATTGTAACTAGCTAGAATATAGTCCAATTCCAATATATAATTTCAAGACAGATGTAATGTTCAGTTTATTAACAAGATGAATTAATAAATCTTAATCAAGATTTATTCTATAAGAGAGATTTCTTAGAATTCTCTTAAAATTATAATCTACTAAAATGCGAATTGAGAACTAAATTCATAGAACTCAAACTAAACTAAATAATTAATTATCTGACTACTTAACTATCTAACTGACTTCACTAGCTAAGATATCTTACTTTTATATATTTTAGAGATTATATAAATAATACTTTTGTTATGATATTTATGTTAATTT